GCCAGAAATGGTAAAAACATGCGACAGCATTACAACCTCTGGAGGATTTGCGTAATGTATCATTATACACGTACGACGGCGAGTACGCGACTTCGAGTACGTCACCAATACGCGCGTGCAACACACACGCGCACACAGCGCATGCGCAAATGGACGCTTGCATGTGTATATGTACGGTTATGTGCGTGCCACCAAATGCAACGCGCAAATATTCGTCCTCAAACAGTCGAACTAACGACAACAACATGCAAGTGAGTGGAAGTTGATGTTGGCGAAATGACGATGGCGGAACAGCAGCCGCACCACCACCAMCAGCACCTCGCGCGCAGTGCATCAACAAAATCAGAAATCATCATAGCAGTTGCGTATCGTCGTCTAAAGAATTTGTTATGCTCAAACTTTCCGACGCACACGTTTGCTCTCTCTTTTGCCTATAGAGTTATAAACGTATAAAATRCATTCTGCATCCCGAATGATCATATAAAGTACAAGTATTTCCCCAACTATTGCAACGTGCATAGAACACGGCTGCCCGCTGACTGCGCACCCTCCCCCCGGCAGCTTGCCGTTCGCTGCTGGCTGCCACGGCCTGCCTGACATCCTTAAATGGGAAATATTTTTCAGTCCACGTGCAGTGACTAGCTACGAGGCTCCGACTCATTGTGCGTCTAAGCGTCTATGCTGGAACGACTTTTGCCACTGTTTATGCGCGCAAACACACACACACACACACACACTTATGTACCTGAGCGCTTGTGCGTGTGTGTTGACGATGACGACTTCGCCTAGTACTCGCGCTGGACTGACTGCTTCAGTCGGTTTGGACTGCTATGTCATCACAGTTATTGCTCCCTGATGATAATCACTGCATTCCAACAAACAACATGTTAGTTTGTTTAAAGATCTTGTGTCCACTATAGTTATCTAGCTAGCAGCTAGCCGTAATGGTAGATTCTATGCTGCTCCTGTTCACATTGACACTGCCAAGCAACTCCACGGGTAGGCCAGCAAGTACAACTAGATTTATACCCCTATTTGTGCAGCAGCAGCACCCGCCAAACGCCGCTGCCCTTCCCGCCCACAACAGCAAACAGCATTGGCAGCAATAGTTAAGTATTAGCTGATCTTGCAGCAACACCAGACAGTCTAACAACATGCCTACCGCCCAACCGACGTCCTGCCAACCCTGCGCCACCGTAGCTTAGCGCATAAGTATGATATGCTATTGATGCGTCTGTGTGTCTCGCCAACGTTTGGATCGATCGATCGATCGTATGCGCCGATCAAGACGATCGATGGCTGCCTAGTTGGCTGCCTGGTTGGCTAGCTAGACCGCTAGCTCGAGCTAGCTAGTTGCGCTGATCGACTGCTTGCCAGTTTGGTGTTTGGAGTGAAGATGCTTTGCTGTCTATGTGCTTGCTTATGTTGTGTTGTTTGTTTGGTGAGCGGCGCGGCGCGGCGCGGTGTGTGGTGTGGTGTGCATTTAGGTTGTTGGTTGTTGGTGGTTTGTGATGCATATTGGTCGCATCATCACTCCAAATGGAATCTTGCCTTTTACGCCAAGTGAACGACATACTTGCACAACGTCGCCAGCATGTCTTCCACAGAAAAATTCAGAATCGCTTTGTAAGTGGCTGGTGAATTTAATTAAATGAAATACCTTCTTGGGATATCAATTATTTGAGTTGTCGGCGGTCAAGCGGTAAGCAACACACACACTTACTGACATACATACAAATGTATATATAGCACAGCTATACTAGTAAGTAATGTAAGTAAGTACATAAGTAATGSCAAGCCTTGTTGTCCAGCCAACCAACCAACCAACCAGCCAACAAGCCAGTCAGCCGCTGCGATCATGGTGGTAGGAGTTGTGGCACTTACTGGTTACTAATGAGAAAAGTTAATCGTTATGATTGCCTAAAAGATCACTTACATTAGTTCAGCGCGTAGTTAGCACATACACGCAAACTTCCATGTCTCGCTTTACTATGGCGACGACACAGCGGACTCTTACCGCATTACTATGCAAGTATGTGAGCAGAAATGTTTGAAATKCCGGCATTTCTGGAATTTATTCTAATCTTATGTGTGTATACTTAATTCCATAGAGTCTGCGTGGAATGTCAGTGGCTTGTAAAAGTCTAAAATGTCTCTCATAAAAATATTGTATTGCGCTTATTTTTAGTAGACTGACTT